TATAAAGAACTTATTGGGAAATGTTTGCAATGTGGAAAGTTAGTTGATAAAAATATATTTAGTTTACTAGAAGATAATTATGGGTCAGCTTTACAGAGTCTAAAACACACAGATGCCAGATTATATCTGTTACAAGCTGTCAAAAATGTTTTCTATTGATCTGACATTGTCCAGGGATTGTTTCGAATCCACATAATCTTACTGAATGCTGTTTACATAATGATTTTGCAACAGCAGTTGTATGCATAAATATACATAGTGTCATGCAGTTCCCAACTGGTCCACATCAGACTTGGCCACAAGGAGTGAACGTCAGGAATAGTTTGTACTTTTGACATGAATTCAGCGCACCAATTTTCACATGAAGGCAATTACCTAAGCACCGTAATGCACTGGGTACTTCTAAAATATTTGGAGCGCCATCTACTCTTTGCTAAAGCCACTTAAAAAGAAAAGAAAAAAAAAAAAAGCAACTCCAGAAAGAAAGAGATTTCCAGGACTTTACAATTCATACCCAAAGAGCCCCTTAGCACTGTATAAATACGGGGCAAAGAAAAGGAAGACTAAATTCACATGGGAAGATGAAAGTCAAACCCTGAGTGTGAGAATACCACACAAGAAGGGAAGTCCTAGACTGCTAATGGGCACAGGGTTTCTTTTGGGGCTGATGGAAATGTTCTAAAGTTAGACGGTGGTGATGGCTGTACAACTCTGTAAACATACTAAACAACCATTGAATTGTATACTTAAAACATGAATTTTATGGTATGCAAATTATATCTCAATAAACCTGTTAAAAAATAAGATGAAGAAGAAGGAGAAGGAGGAAATTCCCAAAGAGCGAGACAGAAACCATTGTACAGTCAAGTGAAAATGAACTTAGAAAAGAGGTGATGGTAGTTTCATACCAATAACACATTTTTTCTAATGCCTGCTCCAGGATATTCCTAGATACTCCCTTAAGAATGAAGAAATGGCTTATTCATAATGTAACTTTCTTCCCAACTGGAGCCTGGCTATAGTGGATGGATTAAAAACATCCCTCTTAAGTGGTCCTTTCCATTCTGACATTAAGAACCTACTGATTTTCTTTGGCACAGAACGCTGACAACTCAATCCTAAGGCAAAATAATAAACACAATGTTGATGTGATATTTCTAACCTAAATATCAACAGGAGACATGCTGACTGGTTTATAATCCCTTAATGAGGGTTGAATTTCATTCATATCACTGAAAACAGTAAGGGCTGTTTTGAAAAGTGATATCTAAATGGATGATGTTAAAAACAATAGTACCTACCAAAGCTGCCTAATAAAGTTCCCCAACCCATTCTTTAAGAAGCTGACCCTGCCCCTCCTCCTCACCACTGCCCTCAGACTATGATTGCCCAGAATGGCTCCTTTTTCTAATTTACATAAGGATATTTTATAGGCCAGCAGTGATACTGCTGTTAGAAACATAAAGCATGACACAGTCTAGAATGTATAAACGGAACATTGTGCATAGTTTAAAATGTCTGGCATAAAGAAACGTTCCTATATTTTGTCCCCCATTTTTTTTATACTTCAGAACCTCTTTTTCAGTAGGTATAAGACAGTCTGAGCAATTAGCAAACAGAAGGTAGGTTTAAACTTCAAGGTAGCTTAATCTTCAAAATTTGTTTAGCCCAATTGCTGATATCCCAGACAAACATTTACCAAATAGTCAGCTAATTACGCTGAAACACCTGATTCCATCACATTAGGAAGGGAAAAGGCGTTCTGGACTTAATTATTATACCTATGAAATTATTTACTAATTGTGACGTTAAGTATTGTCACAAATCCAAAACAAATGTTCTTTCTTTTAACTCTAAGTAAACTTAATTTCAAAATTAGTATTAATTACTATATAATCAACAAAATAAATATTGTTGGTCAGGGTCAGACTTAGCAGAAAGATAAATCTCAAGTACGTTCAATAAGAAAAGAGACTGAGAATACTATCAAAGTCAACAACAGCTGAGGTAGGGACAGAATTAACTGCCCGACTCTACTAGCAAACATTTTGTTCTCGATCCTTGCTGATAAAAGTAGTGATTTTTAGTATACATTTAGAGAGCTAGAGTTAGAAGTTCAAGTGAATGTCTAAAACTTATGATTATTTTACAGGGCCCCTCTACAATCAAATTTGACATTTATCTCAAATTCCCAATAAAGATTACAAAGTAAAAATTCATTTAATTTTCTAAGATAATAGATGATTTTTTTTCATTTTCACAGACTTCTGCATATAACAAACCAAAACCCATGGCCATCGAGTCAATTCTGACCTGTAGCGACCCTATAGGACAGAGTAAAACTGCCCCATAGGGTTTCCAAGGCTGTAATCTTTACGGAAGCAGATAGCCACATCTTTCTCCCGGAGAGCGGCTGGTGGGTTCGAACCGCCCACATTTTGGTTAGCAGCCGAGCGCTTAACCACTGCGCTACCAGGGCTCCTTCTTCTGGGTATAGTGGACATTCGGTGCATGATGTTTATGTGTTTATTGTTACAAGATTCTCCTTTATATTGGATTTATATTGCATTGCTTTATGTATGGCTTGGGGCTAGTCATTCTTTGTGGAATTATCAGATATTTTTGACGTGTCTAAAGATAGAAAATGAAACTGAGGTTCAGAGAGGTTTCTACATGCCCAGAGTCATGCAGATATTCAGACTTCTAGTGCATGGTTTTCTATGACTCTCACACATGTTATTTAATTATTTTACATGCATAAAGACATGGTTATTTCTTACAGTAATAACCTACATTTACAAAGAGCTTAGAGAGGACACTTTTTTTTTTTTTTTAACTTAGCATCCATTAGTTCTTCTTTGATAATTATATGCTGATTTTTTTCTGGGGAAACTTCCACCCTAATCTGTTGCATTTGCTAATTCCCCTGATGTAAATATTCTCACCATGGCTGATTTCAAGCATTAACATGAGTCAACTGGCTCACAAATTCCTGAAAAGTTAATAATTGGGAAGTTGGTGCAACCCAGTTCCAGCATACCACTGCAGCTTACATCAAACCTCCTGAAGCCAGCTCTTCCACAAGACTGCATTTTTGTGAGCCTATAATATTTTTTTTAGTTTAAGCCACTTTGGGGTGCGTCTTGTACTAGAAAAAGACTTAACTGATACCAAGTTTTATGGGTAATGAAATACTTTTCACATAAACTGCATGTTGCCACATTGTTGTTGTTGCTGTCAAGTCAACTGCAACTCATGGTAACATCATGTGTGCAGAGTAGAACTGCTCCATAGGGTTTTCTTGGCAGTAATCTTTATGGAAGCAGATCACCAGGCCTGTATTCCAAGGAGCTTCTGGGTGGGTTTGGACGGCCAACCTTTCAGCTAATTTGCATCACTCAGGGTCTTCTGGCCATATTAAACCTCCACAATAACACCGTGAGGTAAGCATTTCCCCATTTTACTGAAGAGAAACTGAGGCTCAAGGGGGTTAAAATTTAACCTATAAATTTGGTCTATATAATTTTCCAGACCCAGTCCAAAATGAAAATGTAGGACCCCTTGTTAAAAAATTAAGAATTTCAAGACGGTGACAGCAGAGTATTAAACTAAATGCAGGGCACTTCCAGGCATGAGGCCTTGTGCAGTTGCACAAATCACACATCTGTGAAGCCAGTCCTGAGTGTATGTCTTTCAGCTGGTAAAGTGGAAAAGGTGGGATGTGAACTCAGATCTTGAAGCCAAATACCCTTATATTCTATTGCACTGCTCCCCTAAGTAAAGACTCTGTAAATAAATTGCTAATATTTATATGTAGAATTTGTTATTTAAATGATTAGTAATAACTATGTCTTGTATTGTTGACCAATTTCAAGTAAACACACACATATACATCTACACTTGACTCCATGACTCCTATGTTGCATCGCCTATATCTTAGATCACGAGTATATTCAGTTTTAATTTCTTATTTATATTACATTTCCTTTAGGCAGCATTAGAAAGAAATCTTGCCAGAAATTTACTTAGCTACCTATATTGCACATTTTTCACTCTTCAGACAAAGCTAGAAAAAGACAAATAATTATTTCATGTATTGCAATTTTAATTGTTCTACCTGACTTACTCCCCGCAATTGTCTTTTTTTTTTTTTTTTTTAGGTTAGGCAATTCTGTATGTCTTAGGGATTTTTATAAAAACATATCCATTTTTGTCTCCCATTACGAAATTTCAGTGATATCCCAGTGTCTTTCTTCTTCCCAGAAACCATCGGCCTAAGTGCAGCTGTTTACAGTGCAATTACTATTTTCAAAGCACCAAGCTCAGTCTGATGAGTTTTATTACTTAGCCTCTCACATTCAAAAATCATTGTCGTCCAGGAAATAAGTGGTGATATATGATAATAAAGTAATGAAGTGTGAAAAAAAACCTCTTTTATATAAAATAGCATTGGAAGTTTCCTTATGCAGTTTTATGTAGCATCTGGGTTGTACTACTAAATTTTTGATGATTTTCAAGAAAACAGAAAACTCTCCACAATAAACAGCTGAATAATACTTCAAATTTAATCTATGCAAACAACCAGCCAATAGTTTATCATGAATTATAACATCTATGCAAACAATCAGCAGATAGTTTATCATGAATTATAACCTAGAAACTGAGACTCAATATAAAACTCAATATAAACATTTCTCTCAACATTTCTATTTACCTGCTGACTAACCTAAGATATTTAATCTTTGTTTATGTGTGAAACAGTGGAAGCTGAGGGGAAAAATATTCTAGCAGGATTCCCTAGAAATGTGGAAAAATGCTACAAGTAAGTCAGTACACATATATACTTTAAGATGGTTTCCAAAACGTTTAAAAATTATAATTTTTGTTAAGGAGAAATTGAAAATAAATGTACCACCAATGAGGTGGAATTTCTACCTTTGGCATTGAAATGAGATCATTTCAACCACATGTGATTTACTTAGCAGCCATAGTAATATTACCTGCTCGGATCTGTTCTGGTGCTGGTATTGGTATTGAGAAAAGGTATTATGAGTAGAAGCAATTTCATCCTTCTCAAATTGTCTCTTCACCCTGGCCAAACCACCAGGTACAGTGCACATCTCTGATTCCTCCATCATCTAAGGTGATTTAAGAGAAAAGAAAATTCAGCTTTCTATTTAGCTCAGGATGGAATTCTCAAACTTTTTTTTTTAGTAGTTGACATTTACCGATGGTTGGTATTATAAAAAGTATTAATATACACACTTAGTTCAGCAGGCTCTTACCCAAAACTCTAATAAAATTAGTCTCTCCACATTGTTTTATCATTTGTCAGCCTTTTGATATAAAGACAGAAGAATCTTTAAAGTATAGAGTTAATTCTCCTTATCTCAGATAAATTTTGACACCTGGAGATTAGACCTATTAGAATATGTTTCTATAATAATACACAGAGTAGTGAGTAGTAGAATAATGGATTCAATTTCAGCCCAAAATAAAGTTGTCATTAAAATACCAAACAACCTATATAAGTAATACAATGTTAAGAAGAGTTATCAAAATCACTTTGACTCACTCTAAAATTTATTTAAATAATTAAGGATGAACAAAATAAAGAACCTTAGAGCATGTTTTTTGCAAAAATATTAACATCAGTAATAATAATGGCTAGCTAAGGCATTGTGCTAGGTAATATTGTATGTATGTGCATATATTCTTTCATTTAATATTTCTCCATATTCTGTGAGATATGGACACTTCTTGTTCTCATTTTAAAATGAGTAAATTGAGGTTTTGAGAAGTAAGGCAGCTTGTTAGGTCCTCACAGCTAGGATGTGAGTGTTGGAGCTGAAACTTGAACCCACATCTAACTGTCTTAGTCACTAGCCTCAAAGGACAGGCAGTAAAACAGGAGTTACATTACTCCAGGATTGGCATACCCCAGGACTCAGTTCTGAGCACTGGCATGTGAGAAATAGGGGGTTTAATGTTAGAATGGTTCTAGTCGATTATGTCATTTTACAGATGAGAAAACTGACTTTGATAGGTATAAGTGGGAGCAACTTGAAAAACACTTGAGGAGTTCTGTCTGAGTTTATGCTCCCTTGGGAAGCACAGAAGTAGCTCAGGGTTTTGATGATTTAGCATACTCCAGAGCCCAGCAAGTATTCAAGCCCAGATGGGATGACAACTGTCAAGCAAACAGGTCCCGTGCCAGCCCGCGAGAGCAGGTCTCCTGAGGTCTGGCCCGGTCCTGATATAACCTTGGAAGCCTTGAGACTTGAGAGTAACTGGTAGCCCAAGAGCTGAGGCTCCCAAACCATGGGTTGTGGACTCCTAGGGGTCCTGGAATCTTTAACCAAATATATAGTTTCACAAACAGATACTGAAAATACATGTACTATCTTGGGGTTTACCATACTCAAAACTATTTATATACTGAATTTATACTCCAGATTATCTGAATTACTAACAAATACTCAAGTGGTTGCTTTACCAAGGTCATAATGCTTCCCCCTACAATGGACTATCAAATATTTCAGAATGTGCACATTGGCTCTACAGGAAGGGGGAGAAGATAGTACATTTATATGTACTATATATATAGTCTATCAAATTCTGCAACAAACTTCAAATGTAAACCTTGGCCAATTACTGTCATATGATACATGGTAAGGTCATGAGAAAGTACAGCATCCCTTTTGAAATATAAGATAGTGCAAAGAAGGGAAGGGGTGAATTAAGGCCACGATTTTTCTTTTCCCCCTTTGCCATTTAATTTACATAAATGATCTTCCTGGATATATCTTATATAGACCATATTTAAGTATTAGATTATACAAATGAAATTAGATATGGGTAAAAAAATTCAACAGCTAAAAACAATGTCCAAATTATATGCAAATTAGTCTGGTAAGCCTCAGTATTATGCTAGGGGCTGGATATTTTCCTAGTATGTGCATTTTCATAAAAATATCAGTTCTTATAATGGACAGGTTGCCTCTCAGTTACCAGATGGTTACCAGCGTTTGGTTTGGGATCAGATCACTTTACACATGTGAAAATGCATACAGTTGATTATTTCTGATCATAGTACTGTTATTACCCCTATAATAAAAACCAAAAAAACAAAACTCGAAAAAAGCAAACCCATTGCCGTCCAGTCGATTCCAACCCTAGTGACCCTATAGGACAGAGTAGAACTGCCCCATAGGGTTTCCAAGGAATGGCTGGTGGATTTGAACTGCTGATAATTTTTGGTTAGCAGCCAAGCTCTTAACCACTGCGCCACCAGGGCTAGTAGTATTATAATACTGCTGCTGCTGACCCACTTAGTGAGGCAAGTCCTAGAGCTGTAGTTTACTGGTGGCATTTACAGCTCAACTTGTACATGATGGTTTGCATATGTGATACAGCAGGGCTTGCTCAAGGAGCAGTCTGTGGCTATGCACTGCGTGATGCTTCCTTGCTCAGATGGCAGTGCTCCCATGATTTTGCCTTGTTTAGCACCATGTTCTAAATATCCCAATTGATCCAGTTGCTGTTGAGTAGATTCCAACTCGTACCAAACTCATTTGTGTCAGAGTAGAACTGTGCTTCACAGGATTTTCAATGACTGATTTTTCAGAAGTAAATCACCAGGCCTTTCTTCTGAGTTGCCTCTGGGTGGATTCGAATCTCCAACCTGCTGGTTAGCAGCTGAGTGCGTTAACAATTTGCACCACCCAGGGAATGTATAAATGACTGCATATCTTAGATTGCTTGGTGTTGAATCTTTTTATGCTTATTCTGTGTTTCTTATTTTGTGACTCTGGAACAAATTTTGGAAACCTAGGTAAACATGTAATTATCAACTTCCTTTACAAAGTACTGTCTTTGTGCTATAAGGTATAATAAAAATGGCATAATTTGGGGAGATACAGCGATTCTAATCCCAGTTCTGCCATTTAAAACCTTGGGCAAGATTCAGAGAACCTCAGTTTTCTTTTTTATAAAGTGAGAATAACAATATTTTCCTCACGGATTTCTTATGAGTGTTAAAAAAAAAAGTAAAGGAAATGAAATTGCACAGCATAGAAACTGGCATTTTAATTTGTTGCTCAACAAAGGTTATTTCTTCCCTCTCTTCCAGGGGCTTCTGCAAACAGCTGCCATTTCATAGTCATGACTTTCATTTAGGTTCCAATGCTATCTGAGTCAAGGCCAAGGAGAAACTGATCATTGTCAGCTATCCAAATGTGACAGAAACGTCCTGGATTCAGTTTGGGGCAGAATCAGTGATTTTCAGATTTTGCACTTAAAATATTTGTGGTAATTGTGTAGACAAAGACTTAGTCACAAGCAGTTTTTCCAGAATTGAACAAGCATGTGAGGCAACTGACCAAACAAGGCAGTTATTTTTCTTTTCTTCAGGTATTTACCAGGATTCCTCTGAGAAAATATATGTGTCCTTCCTTCTCACAAAATTTATTTAGGATCAAACCAAATAGTAGGGTATTTGCTGGGCCAGAAATGCTTTCTTGTATGAGAGGAGACAGCCGAATATAGTTAAAAAAGAGTACTGGAGTCAAGAGATTAGGAATCTAGCTTGACTTTATCACTACTTAATTGTGTCCAACACCCCTTGATGTCAAGTCGATTCTGACTCATAGGGACCCTAATTGCATAATCCCCCATAAATCCCTTCTCCTCAGTTTTCTCATCTGTAAAATGAACGGGAAAGAGAAGACTAAGTCCCTCACATATAGCTTCAGAAACATTGTAAAATACCTTATAGGTAAAATATTTATGGAATAACATTAAACTTTTTGATTTTTATATTGAATAGTGGGATCCCTTATGTAACCTTTTTTTTAAACATTCTCTTTTTAGCACAGTGTAAATGGAAATCATGCACTGATACCAATCGGTTTTATGGTATATTCTTCTAGTGTGTGACAATGATCAAAGTCTTCTAAAATAAAGGAGTGGTTAGTAAATAAACTGTCTTTAACTAGATATTTTCAAATTAACTGTTTCCCAAAGATCATGTCACCAATTTAGAACACAAATTTGTAGTAAAGTTTCATAATGATCCAGCAGGGGGTGCTATCTAAACAGACTGGCAGGAAGCGCGGGCATGATACTAATTGTTTTGGAAGTGATCTAGCTACTTATGTCATTTGGATACGTTCATTCAAAATCTATGCTGTGTCTAAAATGTATTTTAATGACTATGTAAAAACCTAAATGTCATCTAGAATTGTAATATTGTTAATGAGCTTGGCATAGTCAGCCTTGTCTCTCTAAATAATTTGTAAAGAATGTTAACAGTAGCTATTTTAAAACACCGCCTTTTTTGGTTATTCATTCTCCCTCCCTCCTTCCTGCCTTCCCTGTCTCTCTCAATATGTTTTTTGTGGATTAAAAGAACAACTTTGCTAATTTGAAGATTATAATTATAAAGGAATATCCTTATATTCCACTAAACTGGAAAGCTTCTACTAATAAAATCACTCATCAAATCCTGTGGATTGAAGGCCACAGTATATGGAACCCAACAAATTCTTTTGAATATGACTTTATTATGTGTTGGCTCTAAAAATTGGTGGTCTCACTGAGTCCTGCAGTTTTGTATAATCATAATTGGTTTAGCAGAGTGCCTACATTGCTAATCTCTCTCATTTCTATGTTGATTAAGCTACTCCTAATGGATTTAGTGCATACAGAGAAATGAGAAAAGCAAAAGAAATGATACTGCCAGTGCATTTAAATGAACCAAGTATGAGACCAAGGAGGGCAGCATGCAGACCCACATTATTAAAATTTGAATGACCAACTTTCCTGAGGAGAACAGCTACAGGTTAAATGATAGCGATGACAACAATAATACGTTTGTGCAGTGCCTTATGGCTTACACATAAATTATCTCGTCCACTCCTCACCAAGATGCTTGCTATGTTGTTGTTAGCAGCCGTCGAGTCGGCCCCGACTCATGGAGACCCCATGTGTTACACTTCTTGGTTGTAGTCTTTACTAAAGCACTTCACCAGACCTTTCATTTGCAGAGATACTGGGTGGGTTTGAACCACCAACCTCTAGGTTAGCAGCCAATCACAAACCACTTGCGCCACCAAGGCTCTTTAAGGCCCTATGCGGTAGATGTATGATTTCCATTTTTCAGTTAAGGAAACTGAAGCTCAGAGATGGCTTAAGCTAGTAGCCCAAGTTCACACAGGTAATAAGTAGCAAGGCTGAAACCTAAGTTCAGATCTTCTGAATTTGATTCACACACTTTCCATGCTCTTCCCACTTTTTCCCACTGTCTAGCAGCATTCTTGCATTGCAAAGGCAAAGAGGAAGTGTGAAGGGCAGACAGCAAGCACAGTGCCTAATGCAAAACCACCAGGAGCAGCTTACATTAGCAGAGAAGCTGTGGCAGTCTCCCCTGGAAACAGCTGCCTGGTACCTCGCCATCCGCTCCTTCAAGGAGACCACCTCCTGGAGGTCTGACACACCCTCACTTCGCGCAGCACTGTCTTCTGCAAATCCACTCACAGGCTTATTAGGGCCAACGGTAGCTGAAAACAAATGTAGCATGCTCAGATATGTGTCAGCCTTTGAAAAGAAAATAACATCACCTCATGAACAGTGAAGACATTTAAAATATTTGGTCTTCTAAAGCAGACTGCCACATTTAAAAGTATTTTCAAGGTTTCCCAGTTGCCCTGTTTTCTTCAAGCTTTCAAGTAAGACTTGAGAATGCCTGTATATGAGCATATGTTTATATAAACATCTAAAGAAAATCTTTTCTCTACTCCTATTTCTGGAATTATTCTAATGCAAAGGAGTTATGAAAACCTATATAATGTTAATAATGAACATCCTTCGAGTGCTGACTACGTGCTGGGATTATACCAAACGCTGAAAGACCACTTCGCACTTACTTTTCTAATAGCCCCATGAGATAAAAAACCAGCCGAACCCATTGCTGTTGAGTCGATTCTGACTCATAGCTACCCTATAGAACAGAGTAGAATTGCCCCATAGGGTTTTCAAGAAGTGGCTGGTGGATTTGAACTGTTGAGCTTTTGGTTAGCAGGAGCTCTTAACCACTACACTACCAGGGCCCGATAACTGCTATAATTTTCTATAATTTTCAGATAAGGAAACAGAGACTCATAGAGGTTAAGACAGTTTCCCATGATCACAAATTAATAAGTGGCAGAATTGAATATGGTTAGACTAAACTTTTAGTAAGTCTAAAAATTGCTCTTTGCTTCTTACTCCCCCCTATAGGTACATCTAACTCAGATATGTGACTGCTGTGAGAATTACAGGCTGTAGATTTTTTCTTTTCTTCATAATGGCATGTTTTACATAAGAAAGAAATAATAATATCATTAGAAACAGCTTTGTCAGTCACCCCTTTCAGATAGTCTGATATTTTCCTAGTTAAGCCATCTACCTGACAAAAATACAGGGTAGTAGGAATTACATACCTGGAAATAGAGCAAAAGACTGGCCATATGGGCACAGACTAACAATTGTTAGAAACAGAAAGGTCTTAGAGATCATCTAGTCTAACCCAGTCTAACCATCTTCTTTTAGGCATAAGGAAACTAAGGCCGCAGGAGTTTAAGGATTGTCCTTAGTTATTTAGCTACTATATGCCACCAATGGGTCTTAAAACTAGGTTTTTGTTTTTTTTAATCCATTGCTCTTGGCTATGTTATCACTCTGCTTGATAGTTTATTATTCACTTTTAAAGCATTATAATTCCAACATCATTTCAAAGGCTTATTCTGGACCCAACAGAGCATGGTGTAAGTGTATACGTATATGAATGAGTGTGTGTGTGTGTCTATATATCTATATATCTCGATATATTTGTGTAAATTCATCACTCCTTCATGGATTCCTTGCCTTTCATTCTTAGGGCTGTCTGGAATACTTTATTATTTGCATTGGTTTGATTTCATCACTGTGAAGCATGCCCCAATCAACCCAGATAACAGATATCAAAGCTGTTCTCTTCCTTCCTCTTACGTCGTCTATCATCCCCTGCATTGAACCATCTTATTGAATTGTTTGCTTTTTCTATTAGCTTCTTCAACGTTTATGTTCATAACAGCAGGGAGAACAATTTCTTGGGGCCAAAATAAAGAAATAAAAAGCACTTGTGTTTTTTGACTCTTTCACTGAGTATTTTGTTTCCGATAGAGACTTCTTATTCAAATAAGCATTCACATACATTCTGATTAAAACTGTAAGTATATTCTATTTAATACGCTATAGGAAGATACAAAATATACAGGAATAAAAAAAAAAACCCATTGCTATTGAGTGGATTCCAACATACAGCAACCCTATAGGACAGAGCAGAACTGCCCCATAGGGTTTCCAAGGAGCGGCTGGGGGTTTTGAACTGCCAACCTTTTGGTTGGCAGCCAAACACTTAACCACAATGCCACCAGCGCTCCATAAAGCAATAAGAAGGTACGTTATATGAATGCTGTGATTATACACAACACTGATCTGTGTTCACAACAAATGTCAGCTATTTCTGAAATTCACCTGTCATCGAAAACCTCATCTCCATACAAAAGCACACCCCTCCAGTTAATTCTGGTAAGAGGTTCCCACAAACCATAGAAAGTCTTTCATATGCTAAAGTGAAGATATACCTTTATTTCTCCCTGTGGTTCTTCTATCTGCACAGATGAATTCAGTTTTTATTTAAATGTATTCTTACTTTGTTGAATGAACACTATATAAATTTTATTAAACACAGCTCCATAAAGTTTTATATTAAAATACAATTTTTTTTGTGTATTATTCATTAAACCCCCAAAAGAAACATACTCGTTTTTTAATTAATCTTAACAGAAAGTCAGCAGTTTATTTTTGTTAAAATTTACAGAGATGGTATTTACTTTTAAAATATCCATTTTTTATCAGGTTTCATCACACTGGAAAATGCCTGAGATGAATGGTCAGGAAATCAGTGACCTGAGAATTCAGAGAGTTGGTCACTGCATTGTGGCCTTTTAGGCTGGGCAGAGAAAAAACACTTTTTCTTCCTCCCTCTATTTTTTTTTAGCAGTAAAGCTTTGCCTCTCAGGAAACCCTGGTGGTGTAGTGGTTAAGAGCTCTGGCTGCTAACCAAAAGGTCTGTAGTTTGAATCCACCAGGCGCCCCTTGGAAACTCTATGGGGCAGTTCTACTCTGTCCTATAGGGTGGCTATGAGTTGGAATCAACTCGACGGCAACGGGTTTGGGTTTTTTTTTGCCTCTCAACTTGGGTAGGTTAAAACCAAAAAACCATTGCCACTAAGTTGATTCCAACTCATGGAGATTTCATGTGTGTCAGAGTAGAACTATAGTCCACAGGATCTTCAGTGGCTGATTTTTCGGAAGTTGATCTCCAGGTCTTTCTTCCCAGGCATCTCTGGTTAGACTTGAACCTCCAACCTTCTCATTAGTGGCTGAGCAAGTTAACCGTTTGTACCACCCAGGGACTCCCTTAGTTGAGGTAGTGGAGTAGAAATAATTATCATGAGCTAACAGGCTGTGTACCTATTGTGTTCTAACCTCCTACCAAAACTACCAAATATTTTTATATTTATGTATGTCACTTCATTTCTTTTCCCTTTTGCCAAATATGAATTATGTGAAAGTCGATAGAATAAAATAAAAAACGATTTGAACTCTTAATTTCATTAAGAGAACACTTGCTAGTATCGCGGTTGTGAAACTGATATTAGCTGTATCTGATTTACAACTGAGACTTGGTTAGGTGAAGTCAGAAGAAAAGAAAATTGTCAGAAATGAGAAAAGAACTAGGAATGTTAAAGTATTTTAGAAGAATTCAAATATACATTGAAGGCAACAATTATAAAAATATATGCTGCTGAAAATCAAATTGATAACATACAAAGAACAATATTAAAGAAGAGAGACAGATGGGGAGAAGAGAGAGCAAAACCCAAACTACAAGATAATAGCATGTCAGTGGGGACAATAGGGGTGGGTGGGCAGAATAAATGAGATATAATAGAAGAAAAACATTAGCTAAAATAAAAGTTGAGCATAGATTTTAAATACTTAACATAATACAGGAATAATTTTATTTAAAAATCCTAATACATGGGAAAATCCTGGTAAATCATTTCAAATTTAAGGAAAAAGAAAAATTATATAATTATCTAGACACATAATGAGTTTCTGTGATGAACAAACAAAATTCAGACATCTTTAGATAGCTCTCTTACAACCCTGAACACTGAACACCAAATCGAATTGGATAAAATTACTGAAATTCTAGTTTTGTGAACTGAAGAGTCTATATGAGTCCGAGCTGTTACTCATGTGAGAAGGCAACAAAAAGTCAAACACAGTCCATGTAACAAAAGATAGCTAAAAAACAAAACAAAGGGGCCTAAAAATACAATACCTAAACAAAAAATTAGAAATAAAATCAAATGTATTAGTTATGAAAACAAACATATATCAAACTTAAAATGGAAAAAAAAAAGAAAAATAAATCCAACTATATGCAACCTGCAAGAAATAAACCTAAAACAAAACACAGAGAAAATTTAAAACAAAATACTAGGCAAAAAAAATCACCAGGAAAATACAAATAAAGAAAAGCCATTATCACTATATTCCTCTTATGAATGGTATCATTAAAGGCCAATTATATTAAATGAAATAGAGAACCACTATACAGATTAAAAAATACAATCCCACTATGAAGCTCTAACAATTGTGGACTTCTACATGCTGACTAGCATAGTACAGAAACATACAAAGACCATCAGTGTCAAGAAAAAAGAGAAATTTATGGGAATATTATTGCTCTGCATGACTTCAACATAATTCCCTCCATCTTTGCCAGATGAAATTTCAAAAGTAAATTATTTGAATTATAGAGTTCATAAGGTTTATTTTAAATCATTCATTATCATTAAACAAAAATTGATTATCTTCAATAAGCATAAGGCACATTCACTATCCTACAAAGCTTTCATGCTAGTTGGAAAGAGAGATGGGCAATTATTACCCACTGTGCTCATGGGTTGTACCAAGTGATTTAAGAGGCTCTGGGTAAAGGGCATGATTCAGCTGAGCATGTGGGTGTGGCAGGTATCAGGAATGGCGTCCTGAAAGTGAAACATCTGCACTGAATCATGTAGGAATCAGCCACGTGAATATGTGAAGAAAGAAGGATGAAGAAAGGGGATGACACAACAGCATGAACAACAAACTGTGTTCAGAAAATTGGGGAATAATTCTGAGGAAGACATTAATAGAGTGTCACCTCCAGTATGTTTCAAAAGGAGCACCAGATGGACCAAAAAGTCACATTTTAGGAAATGAAGACAGATCTTTAAAGAAACAGAAGTTCAAAACATTACTTCAGTTGGACTTCCTAAGCATACAAATTCAAAGTAAAAAATTTGAAAAATCTTAAGGTAAAAGGAACGTTGGAGGAGGGAAATTATAACAAATAAGCTGGAGTGTTAATATTCAATAAAGAATGCTTATAGGTCGGAAAAAACTGCTAACTTTATTT